GGACGAAGACTCCAGCCAATCTTTGATGACAGGAAAGCTAGCCAAAAGGGAAAAGTGGAGTTCTTGAATTGCGACAATACGACGAGGCGTGTTATTTGATAGATTTGTTCAGGTTGTCAATAATATTGAGGAAGAGGTCGGCTCGTAGAGTGGAGACGAAGATCTCAAATCGCCGAGCAGACAAACTGTAAGTGAGGCAGAGATCAGGGCGATGCAGAAGGAAATGTTGTGAGATCCGTGATTCTTTCCTTTCTATGCAACACATCAAAGCAGACACTTTACAATAAGAAATGAAGATGTTCGACAATATTATCCACATGTGCGTTGAACTAATGGAAGCCCAACGCACGATAGCGGAGGAGGTGACTAAAGTGCTTAAGGTATGCATGCAATTCTGCGTTTCGCTGCCAGGACTAAGGAGATTGTTTAGGAGTCGAAACCACAGTGTCAAGTGTGTCATGCGAAATCATATCCAACCCACGAAATATGCGATACGAACGTGGAGCCAGACTTATTTGAGGCCTGATCACCTACTTTTGATCCCAGTCGGTTCTTTTGTGGGTCATTTCCGTTTGAAAGTGCTCACTACAGATTCCAGTACACATACACATTGCTGATCCATATAGATATTTAGCTCATGGCTTCAGGTTACATACTTTTTCTTTTGTTTAAGCACTGTTATGATTCGTGCTGCTGCACTGCGTTTCTGATTTTGTTATGGAAAGCTTTGGAAAACTCAATGGCGTAAGTTGGAAGTGATGGTTGCAACACAACAATTTGCAGAAAAAATTATAATGATTCAGCTCAGATCGAAGGCTTTGGAAATCGAACCGAAGAAGATCGAAGGCTTTGGAAATGATTTGTCCGAACTGGGGTCAAACGGTGTTGCCGATATTGCTTCTTCTTAAATTTGCTTTTCAAATTTGTTGTTGTTGTTTATGAATAAAGCTTCATTACTTGTCAGTGTTGTTTGCAGAAAACGTTATTGTGAGTAATCAAAAACTGCGACGATACAATTTCTATTGAGTAGAGACAAAAAGAAAGATAGTTGCAGCCGTAACAAGCAAACCAACAATATCACTTTCGAACTAAAAAATTAGGCAATTTTAACTGAGATGATTAACTATACCTCATTCTACATCACTACTCACAACAACAACAAGAACGTGCAACGACGTACGCAACAATAACAACAACAGTTAAGTATTTCCAAGATCGGGGTCTATGACTCGCGATTAGAACAAAGTGATAATATTTCACGCTGAACATCTTGGCGCTTGTCCTTCATCGTGAAATCAGAAAATTCAGCTGTGAATTCGAAAGTGTCCGACTTAAGCAAATGTAAGGTTAGGGTTGATCAGAATCCGAGGTTTAGTATTTACTAATGCCTAAAGCCAAATGAAGAGCTGAAGAAAAAACTTACTGACAAACCAAGTCCTGAGCACCCTATGCTCCATATATTTCTATAGTCCTACATATCAACCAGTTGCGCCTCTCAGACTACATCTGCTCTTCACATGATAAGCAAAAAATATTTAGAAACAGTCACCTGTGCTCTGATGTACCAATACCGCGATATAATCAACATCGATGAAGTCGATGACTGCACAGACTACTCTTGGCTGCTGCTAAGTGCTATTAATTTCCTTTCAAAAAGTATTACAAATTATACTCTTAATTCCACCGTTCCCTCTTTTCAATTTCCTTAGGTCTAGGAAGGAGAACAAGAAGAGAATTGAAGAAGAATTCACGGCTCATCAGAAAGAACATTATCTCGTACGACATGGTTGAGATATAAATCCACAATCGTATCATTGAGTGAATCATAGAAAGGAAGCAATTAGCTATATACACCTTTCAGAGCATTCATTAAGCCGCACGAAGAATACAGTAGCGGTCAAAAGTCTTCGCCGGAATTCTTCTTTCGACTGTAACTTTTTTTCTGCTGAATTAAATCAGTTCAAATTTTGATATGTTTTGGAGACAGTCCCACTTCACTTAAACGGCACATTTGTTTCGGATGAGAAAGAATTAAGAATGGAAAAAATCATTTCACTGGGAACTCTCGAGTATGAGCAAACTCCAGTTAAGTTTCAAATCACCGTAGAAAGCTTCTAATTCAACAAAACGATCTTACGCATGATGAATAACATTGAGCAGATCGAATACTTTGTTAATAATCTTCTGAAGTCGCTGAAATCTAACAAGGCCTAAGTAAGGAATCAGTCATTGAATGCACTGTCTACTAGGGCAGCTTCCTCCACTTCTCTTGAAATTTGACGAGTTTCTCGCCCATATTTCCGGCTCTTATTTCCACCAAAGGTATCCCTACTCTTTCCCATAATGTTCCGACGGCGCTCAGGACATGGGTGTGAATTGTTCCCTTCGTTGAAAGCGCGCCATGCTGGCGAAGCCACTCCTTCACAGTGAAGGTGCGATGCTTTTGGTCGCACTAATGCTAGAAGGCGAGCTCAGTTTTGACCAACTGTCATACATGTGGATAAGAACTCCTTCTAGAACCCAACTGTATAGGCTGCCTTCACATGATTGCGAATACTGCGAAGTTAGTCGGCGGTGAAATGGTCGGGGGCGAAATGGGCTTACGCACACCTAAAGTGGGGATCCCCATAGGGCTACAACGTCCTGCGGACCAACGAGAGTAAATTCAAGATGTTTGCCGGCGACTGAAATAGGAATGTGTGCGGTCCTGAGGAAAAACGTTTCGATCCAAGGAATTAACTGCCGTATGTAAAACTTGGCGGAGGCTCGCGTGTGGTAGTCCGTAAAAGAAGTTTTACAACTGCACAGGATTAGAGAAGTGGTGAATGCCGACGTATCAGATAGATTCTGGAAGGAGTTTCGTATCCGCTCGTATGAAACTGTACGTGACTGAGTTCGCCTTCTAGCTATAGAGCGACCAAAAGCATCGCACCTTCACTGTGAAGGATTGGTTTCGACAGCATGGCGCGCTTTCAACGAAGGGAACAATTCACACCAATGTCCCGAGCGCCATCGAAACATTATGGGAAAGAGTAGGGATACCTTTGGTGGAAATAAGAGCCGGGAATATGGGCGAGAAACTCGTCAAATTTCAAGAGAAGTGGAGGAAGCTGCCCTAGTAGACAGTGCATTCAATGACTGATTCCTTACTTAGGCAGCGAACCCAGAAGATCATTAACAAAGTATTGGACCTGCCCAGTGTTATTCATCATGCGTAAGATTGTTTTGTTGAATTGTAAGCTTGCTAGAGTAATTTGAAACTTACTTGGAATTTGCTCATACGCGAGAATTTCTAGTGAAATGATTTTTTCGGAGAGAATCGTCGGAGAGAATTCGGAGAGTCGCGAGAATTGATCCCGTGACCGTTCCAGTGCCCACATGGAACGAACCCGCTGCGCCAATCGACGTGTTGCATTGGTCAGATTATTCTCGTGAAATTGTACACAGCTGAACTGCTCCCATGACCAAGGAAGGGGCTATAACGTGATCAATAAGTGGAACACTGCTGGGGACAGTTGGGACACCTTATTGGCGAGAAGTTATCAATATTATCGATAGCTCCAGTGGCTTTCTCAACACCTTCCACGAACTACCCTTCTTCTCTTCGCTCTGCGACATGGCAGGGACGCAGGGCCACACGAGGCGCGTTGCCAAAACGGCGACCGGTCAGAGGAAAGGAAAAGTGCATGGATATTGCAGAGACGGTAAACGGTGACTAAAATGTACTCAGGGGTACATATTAGTCGCCGTTTAATGTCTCTGCAAGACCCATGCACTTTTCCTTTTCTCTGACCGGTCGCCGTTTTGGCAACGTGCCGCCGCACACGTTGGCCACTTGATATGTGACGTAGACCTCGCCCACTGCGGCAGGTCAGCGCGAGTTTCCCGCCTTTCCCAATGCTTTTTTGGGTGCGGACGAAGGCGACGTCAACGTGACCTATTGGCCAGCTATAGACTGGCCGTTTAGGAAGACTTTACTACCGTCCCAGATAATCGCAGATCTAAACTCTAAACCCAAGAATGTCTAAAATTTAACGGCTACTGACCGAACTGTTTCCTGTACGTAGAGACAATCCACTGATACCTGCGAGACAACGAACGTGACCATTACAACTACTACAGCCCGTTGGGCGACGCCCAATTCCTGCTTGTCTGCGCCCCCTTTCACTCAGTTGAGCACTACGCCACCGAATGACCCTCCTCCTCACCTACACTACCATCCCACTGTATCGGGTGCGCACGAACGCAAACTTAGCACCACCCCTTGGAGCCGCGCAACTTACTCAACGCTAAACTACGCATACTTGCATGGCGTCTTCAGTCGCTCTGCAATGTAGTGGCGGACGTCGGGCACGTTGCCGGCCGGATGCGCCATGGTGGCCTTCCTTCGTCCGAGTTGTCGCATTGTAGTGGGTTCAGGCACAAGCTTATTTTGTGCAGAACCGCGCATGCAATTATAATCTTTGACGCTCGTTGAGGCCCCACTCTCAGTTCTGACGAGAGAATGGGGAAACGCGATTTCAGACGACCGATGGTCATCTCCACAATCGAACGCATACGGCAATGATTGTGGTTATATCGCTTTTTCCTCACGTCTCTCGGACGGCAGTGGGCCGGAATGTGATTATTCAATGACCGTTGGCGTAGCCATTATCACCGAGGGGACGATAACCGGCGATAATCAAACCACTCCACTGTTGAAGACCGCCGCAGGAATTACGAGGAATTACGCCAAAAAGTGGTATCGTGCACTGATCCAGGGACCCGGTGTTAACGTAGAGGACACGGCCAACAGCGTCTACAATGAAGCAGACGTTAAGACATGATGTTCCTTTCCTGCTTACGCACTGGTAACCATCAGCAGCCGGATCCTCATCCGAACCAGTATGTCATCCACGGCTCCGATCGCATCTACATATAAGTGATAGTGAATGTATTGACTTCGCTCATGATGTGACACCGGCACTGCTTTCATTACTCACTGGACATCCTCCGGGTCCTTACGAACTCGTTGGATCGGGCCCTGCACCACTGCTCGTCCTCGGGTTGTCGGTATGCGCCAAGGCATCTACAACACGAGCAACGATATTGGGCACCGTCTTTTGGTAGCATTCGGCGGTGTCGGCCACTACAATCTGGAAACGAGTTAGTGCATAGGCAGCGGATATCTATGCACACCTGGAAGCTTTCGTAATACTCGTCACTGCGCCCATTCAACTAACTCGCTTACATTCTGCATTCGCCTACTTACAGCCCAAGGCTGCCGGTTCTTGCTCCCTAGAATGGTGCTCAGCAGCTCCGTAATTCAATCCAGCCGCTCGTCCGTGAACCGGAATCTTTGACGAATTGGAGATTGATTCATCGACAAATTCGTTCTAGGATCTTGACGAAAATGACGAACGTTGCTCGTGCGAAAACGGGCCCCGTGGAAGAAATGTGGAGGGCATTTCTAGACCATCGTCACAGATTTAATTGTTTGAACCAAAAATAGAAAGATCGCGAGAGCGAGAAGCACACTCCTTTCGGCAACACATCCATTAGAGGATGATGGATGCGTAAAGTGATATAGTAGCAAACGTTAAACAAGAATCATTGTCAATGGGTCCACGTTCCATGATCCTGTATGTAGAAATCAACCGAATATTGGAGTGCGCTCTTGTGCAGTACACTTTAGCTCACGACTATTTTGCGGCCCGTATTGCTACAAGCTCTCACTGGGTACAGCCAGCATCTGCGCTCATGTGCATGACTCTCATGCAGTGTCACGCGCTGCCAATAACTCAGTGGCAACGCTCCACGCTACCTGTGGCGAGTCACAGAATCGATACCGCTTTTGATGATGCTGCTGAATGTTCCGTGGTGCAGTGTTAATGATTCAGTCTTATATATCATCCACCGATGAGTTCCAGGTTTGCAGAGAGTGTTCTTCCCTGCTCTGGTTGAGAGCTCCATGGCTCACTGCCATGCCTCTACGCCGCCGCTGGCAAGGTACGCGGATCGATACCGCACGGCGTCGGATTTTTGCAAACAGCGTCTCACTGTTATAGGCAACCCTTCATATGTGGCTGGTACTACTCCGTGGTGCAGTGGCAACGATAGCAATTCACCCACGCACGGCGCTGGTACGGGTTCGTGGAGGAAGGATGTTTTGCTTGCGATGTCGCGAAGCTGCGTGTTTCAGAGCTAGCTTAACTTCCAACTTTGACAACGCTCCTTTGCCGGTGTGATGGCTTTCCTTAACAGCTAGTTTGGGGTAGATTGCTACCGTTCCAGTCAGACCGGGTGGTTTGGGTGAGAAACAACTAACACAACTGGGAGTGACATAATGTGTCCCAACGACAACTTTCCAGTTGTAACAGGCGAATAATTTGGAATTGGTTAGTTCAACACAGTTCATAGACATTCATTCCCCTTCACGATGAGCAATACTGAATATCCATGCCTCCGGCGTCACGGTTAATTGTACTAGGACTGGTCCCGGAAAGAGAAACGTCGGAAGTGGCTTTATTTGGTATGTTAGCGAAAGGGCGGAAGTGGTGTAGTGACAAGTGGCGCGCTTACCACGCGAGCGGTCCGGGGATCAAATCCTGGGTCGTGACCAGACTTGTCTGGGAGGATAAAAACACTGACTTGTACATCGGCTGGCCCCCGCAAGTCATTGTATAGGCCACATCGCATTCAAACGCCACTACGAATGTACAAATGGAAGTAGAATGCGTGCCGCATCCCAAAAAGGGATTGATCAACGGCAAATGCTTTATCCTTTATCCTTATCCTTAATGTTAATAGTGTTCCCCACTGTGACAGTTCCATCTAGCATTGGAGAGCTATGCCAGCCACTGACCTTCTGAAAGTCGTCATAACTTCCTTCAGTGCAATTTCAGTTTTGCGAATTTGGACTTGACTGTTATTGACTCATTCAGACAAGATTATAATGTTCCCATCCGGCGCTTCCATATCGTAACCCCACACGCGAAAAATTAGCCGTCAGGTTTGGTGTTAATGGTGCTGGTGCACATGAGGCACTCCACCCGCGCGCGAATTCGCCTAGCGTGTTTCGGTGTGCGTTGCAATTCTCCTCCTGGCGTGGCATTCCTCAAGTATTGTTAGGTACAAACACGTCGTGTGAACTGGCGATACAATTACTGAACATGCTCACGCCATAAATTTTGCTTGTGGAAGAAGTTGCGTTATTTTTTCTCCAGTTGATGTTATAGATTCTATGATTGAAAAGCTGAGCAGAAGTTAGTCTTAAACGACGTGTTAACCAGTACAACGAGGGAAGTATTTCGCCGATGGAAGTAGGAGTTGTAAGCTCAAGTACCATCAGAAAATTTGAAGCTACCAGGGCATAGCAATTTGGCGAAGGAGAACAGACTTTGAATAACCATAGCGACTACTATTCACAAACGATTTAGCGGTGCACTCAGGAGCAGGAGATCTTGTTAAATCACTTCATATTCCAGTGAGTACAAGCAAACGAATTCCAGAGGAACTGATGCTTTCGGACAAAACCAAAGCAGGAGGAAATGCAACAATTTCGGTGTAGACTTTGGAGTCCTTCGAAAACTCTGACAGAAGAAAGGTTTCCCTTACAGAACTTAAAGGCAAAGGTCGGGCTTAGTTGACCTAACCAACCCTTTCGGTCATGTCTGTACTTGGTTACGCACCCGTAGAGATGTTCCCACGCTCAAAATCTCGAAACGACGCGGTAATAAGGCCTCCAGGGCACGTACTATGCGCTATCGCCGCCTGGCCCCGCTACGACCGCCCACCTCGGGATGTGGTGCGTGGCTGGCATAACGTGTGAAATCAGCTAGGTTGATTGCCGTATCAACCGATAGAACGACTGATATCTCCAGAAAACTTGTTTGTACGTGCCTCTTTCCCAAGCCAGCCTCCTTCACTGCTAGTGGGAAAGAGGGTTTTGTTAACGGCCTTGTCGACGGTTTTTCTCAGTTTTTTCTCCACTGTCGTTCCACTTCGCATCTCTATACTCAGTTTCAATCGCCATAATACCCCCTTATTGAGCCCGACTTTTGCCTTTAAAGTTTTAAACCCATCCCGGAGCTTTCCCCCCTTTATTGGATGAGGTAGACATTATAA